CCCCAAAACCCCAAAACCCCAAAACCCCAAAACCCCAATAATTAGTCATGAGCTGGAAGTCTTCTTAATCTGAAATATCATAAAATATGGTTAAAAAGAACCCAAAATTTGAAAATAACTCTCTTGAGTGCCGACCAAAGGGAGGTTTGCGTGGAATTATGGTATAATTTTATGAGAAAAACAGTTAATTCCCTGTGTGGACTCATTGATACCCGATTAGCATAGCATTCGCTCCAAAAACCTGTCTAAATAAGCATAGAAATAAAATATCTAGTGCTACTTGTGCACAGAGCAATAGCAAACTATAACTAGTTTCTACGAAGATAATTTTATCCCAACAATTATTCAGAATAGAGCATTACTTAAGCAGGTATGATATCTTGCTCTCCATCAGCCTTAGGCATGTCAGAAGAGGCTGCCTTGGAATCAATCATAGATTTCTTGAGGAATTTAGGCATATAGGTTTGAGAAATGCAAAAGTCAGAATCATCATGATTACTACCACCAGATCTATAGGAATAACATAAGACCTCGCAGGAGAGGTTTTTACCTGACTGGAAGAATAAAGTTCATCTTGTTTATATTCAGCATTAGCCTAGTATTATTGTTGCTCATGTAATCCAAGGATCCTACACGCTTGTGAGATGGCAGGACTTACTCTTTTCCAATAGTTCGAGGACATTTTCATGTCTAGTATAGGTAACAACGAAACAGGAGGGCATATACTCAAGGTTAAGATCCACAATTTTGCCGTACTTGGCAAAGAAGTTATGAAGATAAGGAATCTCCTGGCTACAGTTTGAATGATTCAATAAGTTCAAACCAGGAGAGAATTGATTAAAAGTAACAAGAACCTGATGATAAGGAACAAGCTTTTTGATAGGGATATTATCCACTCTTGGTATGATTAGCACATTTTTACCGAATATCGATACTTCTTGTTCAAGCAACTTATCAACACTAATAGGAACATCAAATTTGAGACTGAAGTAAACGCAGCTATCTCCGAAGTCATTGTCTAAAGATTTAAACTAGTTCCTTACCTTTGCCGCCTTTTTCCACTTTGACAGGCTTGTGAATACCTCTTTTATCAAGCTCATCAATGATATCATTGTTTGTGGCATCAATAGGAACTCCAAAAAGATAGCAGATAGTTTCTTCACTCTGGTTGTCTCCTCTATCAGATCTTCTTGAATCTAGAATTAAGCACTGGGACTTGTACCTTTATCATAAGAATGTACAGATTTGTTATCATGGTTGTCATGATAGTCATCTTCTCTCTCCTTTGGGTATTCCTTTCTCTCCTCAGACCTTCTATTCTTAGGAGATGGAGATCTAGAAGGACTAATTTCATCTCTTCTTCTATATCTCTCGGAAGATCTTCTTTCTCTAGTGTAGTGATCTCCTCTTGGATGATCTCTTCCACCTCTAGGGCTATAAGAAAGTCTTCTCTCATTAGACCTTTGAGAAAATCTTTCTCTTTGAGGGCTCATTTCTAAAGATTCATAAACAAATTACCTCTTGGCCTGTCAAGCTTCTGGTTTGGACACATCATTGGGTCAGTGGGGTAAGCCATTGTTCTAATGGCATCACCATATTTCTCAAGATAAGATGTAAACGTTCTGGACATCTCAAGCCTGAATCTGAAAGGAAGCTTCATCTTATTACAGTTATCAAAGCACTGGAGGGCTTTATGGTCAAATTTTAGCCCAACAAGTGCCTTATAGTCATTCTCGTATTCTTTATCATCAATATAGATAGCTTCTTTGTTGAGTTTGTAACCAATCTTTCCCAGTTCCATTCAAATATTGTCCTTTACTTTTGGAACAGACATATTCTTGCAGTCAAGGCAAATGATATAGAAGTGATATTTTATTTCAGATGGCTTTGCTTGGTAGCTAACTCCTGGCTGAGTAGCAAGATCTGATTTCAACAAGTCTTTAGGAATGCCAGTACTAAGAGCCACTTGCTCTCTCTGAGACATCTGAGTTTGTCTGGCGTCATGCCTTGAATCCTGTCTGGCATCATGCCTGCTATCTTGTCTAGTATCATATCTACTATCGTTCCTAGCATCATGCCTGGTATCATGTCTGGCTTCATTTCTTGGCCTATTATAAGTATCGTTGCTTCTGTAATAGTCTCCTCTATCATCTCTGGTATTTCCTCTTGCGTGATAAGATGTGTTGTAATCATTTCTAGGATATCTTTCTCTGTCGTCTCTTCTATGTTGATCTTGCCTCCCTCCATATCTCATTTGATCCTGAGGGATCCCTCTGCTTCTATTTCTATCATAATAATCTCCTCTATCTGCATATCCATCATTGTGCTGATATCTGCCTCTGTCCATATTTCTTCTACCTCCTCTTGGAGATTCATGTCTTCTTCCCTTATCATACCCATCAATATCACCTCGATCTAGGTCCAAAATTAGTTTCTATTCACTCAAAACACCTCTAAATCCTTCTCAGAGACTTCTAAACCCTACAAATCGTATTTTTCTAAATACTATTAATCTTACACTGTGGCTCTGGTGATCTGTCCATCCCTCTTCCTCTTCTCTGTGAATTTCTAAATTTTCCTTCATAAATCTTACTCTGATTTATCTTCATCTATCCAGTCAGCTTGGTTGGCCTCGTGGCCAGGCTCTCTCTATAAGGATAATTAGCCATTTTGGATGAATTTAGAGTGAAATTTAGCCACTAAGGAGTTGAGATAGTTTACCATTCTTCTTTGAGACGGAATTGGATTCCTGCTGTCAGACATCTTTTTAATAATGAGTTATTTCACTGGGTTTTATTTGTGGGGTTTTGGGGTTTTGGGGTTTTGGGGTTTTGGGGTTTTGGGGTTTTGGGG